GGCAGGGCGAGGAGGAGGAGAAGCTCAGTGCATCCCAACAGCGCCGGAGATGCCGTTGGTGGCGTGGGGAAGGCAGAAAGCACGATGAAGGGCTGCGGGTGCGAAGGCTGCGGCTGGGGGGGGGGCAAAAAAGGCGGCACCCCAGGGTGCTCAGCGCTCGCCTGGGTGCAGGCACGGGAGCCGTGGCCGCATGTAAAGACAAAGAAAAGGGCGGTGGAGCAGTGTGCAGGGCGAGGGGTTTGGGAAGGGGGTGCAGAGTGCAGCGCCCCGCTGGTGGCGAGGGGCAGAAGGGGTTTTGTCAGCTGCGGTCGCTGCGTCGGCGTTGCCGGGGTGAGCCAGGGAGAGCCCATTGCTGCCAGGCTGAGATGACAGAGCCGTTTGCAATGTGCCTGGCTCCTCAGGTAATGTGCAGAAGCTGAAAGCCCCTGAGAAGATCATTTTAGGGCTGTTAAAGTAGGAAACCACTGTTTCCTTCTGTTTCTGTCGCTCACGATAAGAAGCCAAAGCCCGAACCGAGATGTGAAGCAAGGAGCGGAAGAGGGGACCCCTCCCCGGGCTGAATTGTTGGCGGTTGGCACCCGTGCCGGGGCGGTGGGGCACCCTCTCCATGCCCAGGGACCTGGCTGCTGGCATCCCCCGTCCTTCCAGCCCCGGGATGCCAGTGGGTCCTCCCAGTGGCAGAGGCAGCGCGGAACTGGCCATGACACCAGCTGATGTCCCACTGCCACGGCCTTGGCTCTCCATTCCCTGACCCCGTGGGACGGTTGATACCCAAATGCTGACATGGCCTCTTTCCTTTGTACCCCTTCAGGCACTGCGTTCTCCTCAGAGGCCGTGCCAAAGCACAGAGCTGCCCGGGATGAAGGTCCTCCTTCTGCTCCTTCTCTCCTCTCTCCAAGGTAGGCTGCCCCCACGTCCTGCCCGGGCTGATGCTGGAAGTAATGGGTAGCCCCAAAAAATTGTCCAGGGGGCACAGAGGGGTGCTTGCAGCTGTGGCTTCCACAGAGAAGAAATGTCTCGTGGGCTGGTGTGTCTCCAGTGGGGTCTGTGGGGCAGGACGGGTCCTTTCCAAGGCAAGGAGATGTCCTCCATCCATCCCTTCTGGGGATGGAGACCTCCTCTGTCGGGCTCTGCCCATGTGCGTGGTGGCACCTGGAAGAGGGTGACACCAA